GTGTAGATTCTAAATTGTTCAAATCATGGCCCCTGGGGGGAGGGTGGGGCCACAATAGGTATTACAAGGGGGGAGTCTGGTAATGAACAGCATGGCCAAAGTTACTCAGGTGAGCGATGTGGCCCATGGGCCTCTTGTTTTATATGAAGAAGAGGTAATATAGAAATAGGGAAAACTGGTTGGGGTCATTTAAAAATCTTCTTCTCAAGAACCACTGAGTCAGAAAATATGAAACTTATATATGAAAGCTCTCTGACATAGAGTAATTCAAATTACTTTAATCCATGACCCCCGGGGGTAGTTTGGGGCTACTGTGGGCTACTATGGGCAATCAAAGTTGTACGTGGGAATGTATAGAAAAAATCTTAAAAATCTTCTTTTCAAGAACAGCAAAGCCATGATCATTCATATTTTTATGGAAGTATCCTCAGGTAGTGTAGATTAAATTCATTCCTATCATGGCCCTGGGGATGGAGAGGGGGTACAATGGGCAATCAAAGTTTTACTCAGGAATGTATCTTTAAAATGTTTTTTTACCAAGAACAGCAAAGCCAAGATTAGTTATACATGTATTCAAATGGAAGCATTCTTAGGTAGTGTAGATTCAAGTTTGTTCAAATCATGACCCCCAGGGTAGGGTGGGGCCACAATGGACAATCCAAGTTTTACAAAGGAATACATTGGAAAAATCTTCTTCTCAAGAACAGCAAACCGATGATTAGTCATATTGATGTGGAAGCTTCCTCGGGTAGTGTAGATTTAAGTTTGTTAAAATCATGGCCTCTAAGGGTAGGGTTGGGCTACAATATGTGATCTAAGTCTTACATAAAAATATGTAGGGAAAATAATCTGCCTATGAAGAGAAGGGCCAGAGTTACTCGGGTAAATGTTGTTGCCCATGGGTCTCTTGTTTCTCAGTCCCATCAAGTTCAAAATAATGAGGTTTGACTGTATATTGTTTATATATATACTGTAATTCAGATATAAATGTTTGAGATACCAAAGTTCAACTGTATTGTCAAATCCATTTATCCAATTTTTTTTTTCCTGTATCAAGGTACAGTGCGGTCTCGTTATTACGATGTTCATTTTGTCACGGGAAAATATCGTAATACCGAGGGCAACGTAATAAAAGTTCCCAATAAAATCCATTAAAACATCGTTTTGAAAGTTTGTTATTTTTGTGGAAGGTGTATTTTTGCCCTTTTGTTCCCTTCTTCTGTTCTAATTCCTAATCAAAACGCTAATACATATATGATTTATTAACAACTTATCTTGAATAGATATCTTCATGGTGATATTTCTTCTATTTCTTTCATTTTAAAAGAAATACGTATATTTCTTATAAAAACTTCGGCGATCTATCGGATCTTCATTTATCTACCACCATTTCCTTACTTTTACTTTCGTTTCTGACTCTGTAGATAATGCGTTTGTAAAAAATTCAACAAGCCATCTTCGTATTCAATTTATAGTCGTTTACTACATAAAAACAACAATTTTTAGTGAGCTTTTGGGTGTTCAATGAGCTTAGAGCAGCAGTGAACAACAGATGAAAGAGTGTGACTGGCATATTTAAGGACGGAATTTGACAACGTACAAGCTATATGTCAAAATAAATTTAATTTTTTAAATTACTGAACAGAGTTCAATTAGCAGTTCAGCAATTATCGATTTGTATTTCTGCTGACACCTGTGAGGTAGTCCAAGCCACAATCAAAGCTGTTAAAACGTAAGTGAAGTTCAAATTTGGCCAAAATTATGTTTGATACCCAAGCTGTCCATTACCGCAATTTAATTGCAAACGAAATTACACAATACGTGTTTAACATACATGCACAAGATTAAATGTAACCTTTTATTTAATAAATTAATTTTATTTATTAACCAAAGTATAAAAGATAAAATAAACTTTACAGACATAGATAAACTAGAGACTACGTTTATAAATAAACAGTTTAAATTTAATTGTTTAACAATGGCTTTGACACGATGTCTCCAGTTCTGCTGACCTCGCTAGAACAGTCAAGGTGTGTGCAGTCAAGCGTCACTAATCACCTAACGGCCCTGCAAGTTAACACTCTGTCAGAGCACAGGTGTTTCAATGTTTATTTAGCGTCTCCTTAAGTGTCTACCGTCGATCAACACTGAATAAACACGGAGTGAAAAAAAATTTTGGACAGAATTTTTACATCGTAATACCGAGTCCCGGCATTTTAGGACATCGTAATAAACGGTTCTATTTTGTATAGATTTGTTAAGAAATGGTTTTGTGCTTTGAATTTACAACGTAATAAGCGTTTTATCTTATAAAACCGTCACCGTAATAACGAGTCCGCACTGTATAAGAAAAATATATTTGCTTGTGATTACAAAGTTTAGCAATAGTCATCATCATTTAAACTTCCAAAAGTTGGTTTCACTTCAAGGGAAGGGTATTTACACTACTTATGTTTCAATTTCTCAGATATTAGATTATCATCATTGGAATGGTTAATTATTACAGGGTAGTATTTATTCAATATATCATTTCTTTAGATTGAGAGAAAACTATTCTTCCTGAACATATTGAGAATATATATAGCTAGTGTATTGATACAATATAATAATACCTGTAGCACCTGCGATCTGGGAGTTCTCTGGAGGCTGCCTTTCGGACCCACCTATCGGCAGCCACTGGATATTACCACCATCTCATCTTCAGACTTCAGTCGGAGTTTGGCCTCAAGCTCAATAGAACTTTAGATTTCTTCCTTATACCGGAATCCAAATCTGGTATGAATGTTGTTTACAGTTCCATAGCTTTTAAACCTCAATGGCTGATCAATTCCAAGGCTTTTTCGTCTCCAGATGAATTGCTTTTGTAATACATGTACAAGGCTCATTCCTAGAATATTCTAAAAACACATAAAAACTGGTAAAATTATATAATATTAACGTTAAAAGTTTCAAGCGATCATTACAGTGTAAATATGTTACATGATAGATCTATATTAGGGATGATGTATAAGTGTGGGTTATTGCCCTTTGCTTAACTTTTTAAAGCACAAATAATTTATTATTTATGAAAAGATTTGATTTTTTTTTTGATTTCTTGTACTAAACCATATTTTTTTTATCGTATTTATTGAAAATATTTTCTACAAACAAATGTATTTCTATCTTGAACAAAAATTGATTAATGGAAAATTTTGCAAAAATCTATGATGTCACATGAATGTGGGGAAAAAAAAGAAGAGCAGCGGTCAATTATATAATTTGTGATGAGCTCGAAAAAGGCCATTTTGCAAACAAAGAAAATGTTGGAGCATACAAAAAAGAGCAGTTATACATTTTCATACTTATCTGTGATATAAGCTTTTTCAGAACAGTTGGAATGTAAAGTAGCGAAAAAAAAAGCACCCAAAAAACAGTAATCACATAGGAATAAAAAGTAATAAATTAAATAATTCAAGTATGTGTCCACAAACATTCTAGACAACCCTGATGTTGATTGTCTCTGTTTTCAGTATTAAAGCACCTTATTATAAAGGTTTGTTTTTTTTCTTTAAAATTTTTCACTTCTGTCTCAGATGTAGGTGACTGTACATATTTTTTTTCCATAATAACAAATTCTTCTTGAAAAATGTTACCAATTACCGGTACTGTGGAATTCTTTAAATTCATGGGGGTCAATGTTCATGGGCACTCAAAATTTTACTGATACATGTACTTGGTGATATCATTTTGTGGGTAACTCATTTATACTGAAGATTCAATGAACCAGTTTGCTGACACATTTATTATTTGCTGGGATATAAATTCATAGGTAAGGGCAAAACCCACAACATAAGTCCCAATGATGATTCCACAGTATTGAGAATTGTTAAGCAGTTGTCATCTGGTAAAATCAATCATTTTAATCTCAGAATAGTCTTTGAGTGTTGCATACTTAGTCTTTTAAACTACATTTTAAGTGGCTCTAACCGGCACACAATATATTCATTAAGGACATAAGAAATCAATGACTCAGACCGTTAGACGGAGGGATGCCACACCCGCAGTTCAGGACTGGGCTACCAAGGCTTGTCATCGATGTCTGGTCTGCCTCGGGGATATTGGTAAGGTTTACAAGCAGGCATATTGGAAACACTGTTTTTACATTTAGTTAACTGTTTTTGAGATTAGTTTAAGAGAAATATAGAATAAAGCTTGTGTTTTGGAGTAGTCATTATTATAATGAAGAATTTGACATTTGTCAAATAAATATTATCACCATTCATAAATATTATATCATTCATATCCTTCATATTTATATCCTGTACCTAGCACATTATGTTTATTCTTTGGATTAAAGGTATTATAAAATACTTGAATTTTCATATTCTTCTTTGATTTAACTTTAGCTCGCTATCAGCAGGAGTTTGACAAAGGTGTTAGTAAAGCAGCAGCTGAGCGTTTCTATCATCAGGCTATAGCTCTCTTCCCAGACAACGGTAAATTAAAGCATTGACATTTGTCATAATTGATGTTTGTATACCTGTAATTGAAATAACTATCAAAATATAATTTATGATGACATTTTTAACAGGGATGCCACACAATCAGCTGGGCACATTGAAGGGTTCACGTTATTTCCAGTGTGAGGCTGCGTATCATTACTTAAGATGGTAGGTATCAGTGGATCTTTGACTACCACTTATTTTTTCCTTAGCTCTACATAAATTTAGGATCACCATCTACAAATCTGAAATGTGCCTTGCATTGGTCAGAATGTTTTGCACAAAAAAATTCCAGTGTCAATTTGAAATAAATTATTATAATTTTCATTTGCCTTCCATTCCATTGAAACTAAAAAAAATTCAAAGCAAATAAATATTTAAGAAAGTGAAGTGATGAGAAAAGCATATAAATTCCATAAAGAAAATGGGGCTAGATAAAAGTAGGTGGTCCACTGACAGGGGCTAGTAAATTTTCAAATCTGATCTGTGCTTTGTAAACAGGATGTGTCAGAAGACCAGTAATGCTTTATTAATTTATAAAATCTTCACTTGTCAGCTTTACCATCAAAAAAAATATTTGACCAATAAAAATTGAATTTCATTAGTCAAATTTCTCAAAAAATTTTTAAAAAATAATTATAGACCTTGTTAAAGCAGATGAGCAGTTATGTTTTTATTGTAGTATGGTGTGCGAGAAGGCATTTGATGGAGCAGAGGGGAATCTGGATAGGTTGTTTGAGAAGAACAGAAAGAGATTCAGAGAACTACAGCAAAACAGCAACCAGAGTCTTCCACCTGAACTACAAAGGTAAACAGCTACTAAGCAGGGAAATCAACAGAAAATAACTCTATAATGTTTTGATACAATAACTTTATTAAACTAAACATTTATTTGGTAATTATTATTGAAGTAAAAATATCTTTGGAATGTTGTGGTGCAATAAATTAAATTAAATATAAGATTATAAGGAAATTAGTGTTCTTGAGGAGTACGTGTAATGAATTATCTTTCTTTTTTCAGGCAATATGACGTGAAATTCTTCCTCATTCACTTCATTCATCTGTTGGATGTTTTCTTTGATACAAATAAAAGGTAAAGCACATAGCAAAATATGAAAGAAATTATCATGGAAAACATTTTTGTGGGTTTTCTTGAAATATTATGTGCAATTTAAGTGAAGTTGATGTAGAAAACTCATTACTTTATACTTATTTCCAATAAGGTGTTTTAAAATCACATACCATTTTGTGTAAAGTTTTATCCAGCTGATATGCTCATTGTTGGTACATTGTATGTTTCACTATTGATGCTGTAGAGTTTATGCAGCTGATATGTTCATTGTAGATGCATTTCAGTATTGATGCTCTAGAGTTTATGCAGCTGATATGCTCGTTGTAGATGCATTTCAGTATTGATGCTGTAAAGTTTTATCCAGCTGATTTGCACATTTTTGATGGGTTTCAGTATTGATGCTGTAGACTTTTATGCAGCTGATATGCACATTGTTGATGTGTTTCAGTATTGATGCTATAAATTTTATCCAGCTGATATGCTCATTGGAGATGTGTTTCAGTATTGATGTTGTAAAGTTTTATCCAGTTGATATGCCCAATTATGATGAATTTCAGTATTGATACTGTAAAGTTTTATCCAGCTGATATGCCATTGTTGGTGTGTTTCAGTACTGATGCTGCAGAGTTTTTGCAGCTGATATGCCCATTGTTGGTTTGTTTCAGTGTTTATGCAGCTGATATGATCATTGTTGGTGTGTTTCAGTATGGATGCTGTAGAGTTTATGCAGCTGATATGCTTATTGTTGTTTTTTGTTTAGCATTGATGCAGCAGAACTCCAGGAGTCTTGCCAGTCAGCTTTACAGAGCTTTAACCTGTGCATGTTTTATGAACCAGTGGTGTATGCAGAAGAAGAATATCGAGATGAGAATCTGCAGTATTTGGATGATGATCTGGTGTTTAGGCTTGTGGTGATTTGTATGTCTACCATCCATTTACTGCAGATCAGAGGTATATTGTTATTTATTTCCTTTATTTATTTAGTCCACTTTTTGTTTTACATAGTATTTGGGTATCTGTAATCAAGGTATTTTAGTCAGAGTTCTATTTATTATCCTCTTTCAGCTTATCCTCTGTACAAATATTGTGATTAAGTAAAAATCAATTTTTTTTTAACTGAAAACTTTAAGAGACTTACAAAACTTTTTGTCTGAGTACTATGGATGGAAAATTTAAATGGAAACTAAGTTTTAAAAAAACATTTGACAGGATCCAAACAAGTAACAGCGGCCACAGCCTTCCTGTTAGCTTTGTTCTCACATATCCTGAACCACATAGTAATACGTCTCCACAACGCTCTGTATGAGAAAGAAAATCCAAACAAACTGCTTCATCATGAAAAAGAGGCTAATGGTAAAGGCTGTAGGATTACCAAACACTTGATAAGAATGATTTTAAATTTTGTTAAAACTTGTTTCTGTGTAAAGCACAGTTATTTGAACTGATGCTAAAAATGTGATGTATTTAAAGGTGATTTGTTTCATTTTGATAAAAAAAGACGATTTACTTAATTTAAATAGGGGAGGATGAATTGTCAGAGATTGAGGCAAAGGATAAGAAGACTTCCAATGGACCGAAGGGTGATCCCTCCCAATATCACACCATAGACCGCCGGGTGAAAGGGGGTGATCAGAACGGCCAAGGCAGGGAGGAAAACAAGGGAGGTAACACCAAGGTATGTCAGTTCTAGTGCTACTGCCAGTATTTGGTAATATTAATGGTGTGTGAACTTTGTGTCTTTTTTCTTTTCACTGTTTTTATCCACCACTTTTGCGAAAGTGTGGGGACATTAAATCTCATTTGTCCATCTTTCAATCTGTCACAAAAACTTAAACAGTTTAGCAAAACGGACGGCCAAGACAGGACAGACAAGATGGTTACAATTTGCCATAAATCATCGCACCCCAACAACTAAAACCCCCAAAACTGTGGACCAGAATTCTCTGAATTCACTTGTTTCTGCATTATATTGTACAGTGTATATTGTTGTAGAAAAGCAGCAGAATTAAAAATGTGAAGAGACGACGTCAGAGGCGAAGAGGAGGGGGAAGTGACAGCTCAGATATGTCTGATGTGTCGGACCTGAGTGAAGGTAGGAAATATGTCATCAGCTGGACAAAGCTTGGACATTAACAAATGACGACACATAATCACGTGTATAATTACAATTCTCAGTTCTGCTGGTGCAGGTGTATTGCTAAGGTGTCCTCTGTCTATTTGTGTGTCTCTGAACAATTGTAAATTTCTTATACTTTATTTAAAAATCAAAAACTAATGATTTCAAATAATTCAACTTAAACCTTCAACATAAGCACGTCCTAAATCTGAAACTTAGAAAATAAGAAATATAAACCATGAACATTGAACAATAAGTGTATCAGCTATACATATAATAAAATTGGAGGTTAAAGTCTATTCAGTTTATTGAATTATTAATCAAGTTTTAGCCATTTTGATAGAACTTTTATAATATTGGAAATAATAATGTACTTATCAGAATTAGAAGTTATGAGACTAGGTAGAAAACTTTGTTGTCATCCTGCTTTGGATATTTCTGGAGTTTAAAAATCTTTAAGGGCCAAAAATGACCCATGGTGAACCTTGTCTTTTGATAATTTTCATATTTGGTTTATTGCAATACAGACTCTCTTGTTGAAAAGCTTGTGCAGTGTAAAGAATTAGATTTTTTTTTTTAAGGTGGTGAGGATCTGTCTGACCAGTTTCTATCCGATGAGTCTGAGGAGGAGTTTGTAGGCTTCTTCACCAATGACTCTGACTCGGAAATATCGGACGATCTCATGGAGAGTCAGGAACTAGAGCCAGGGTTCGCCTCCAAATCACCATCCAGTAGTGCCAAGCCAACTCCAGACTCGAGTGCCACAAACGTAAACTCAAACAGCCTTGATCTGATGGGTTCCCAGACTAACATCTGGTCAGCGGATTCTGATTCACTCGCTCATTTGTCCTCCGAGCTTCTGTCGTCATCAATGACATTACTGGGACAGAACTACCGACTGGAGGCTCAGAACAGTCGAACAGAGAAGGATGAGGCAGAGCTGGCTAATTGTGAGGAGGTGGTACAAGGGAAAAAGGAGGTCCCGGTACCTCCAGGTAGGTGTTTTACTGAGGTTGTAGGAGAAGGCAGGACTCTCTAGTCAGATGAATCATTATTGGTGGCAAAAGAGAGTACTGTAAATGCACATAAAATACAACACTTAAAATTTAGAGCAATCTTCCTTTTCAATTGATTAGCTTGATCATAAATTAGCGCATTTGAGTCTTGAAAATTAGAAGTGTTGGTTTAATTCATGTGTTAGCATATACAGGAATTAGCAGACATAAAGCAATGCCAAAGGTGCTAAAATACAATGTCTGCTAAAATGAGTATGTTTTATATAGTATTCCTTGATGATACAAAGTACACTTGTATTTTAAAGATTCCTTAAATATTACTGTAAATAAGTAAGCAGTAGATTGAAAATGAAATCAGAATGTTCTGAGCTCACCTGAATAGTTTACAGACTTGTTACCACATAAATTGAACATTGTATCACTATGATCAATATCTTCTATCATTATGTATATCAACAATAATATAACATCAAAAAGTTCTGTTCTCCAGGTTTTGCCGCATCTTCTGAGGCCAGACATGTGGCAGAAATCACCAGCAAACTGGCCAACTTTGTGATAGAGACCGACACAGAAGTCAGTGCTGGTCCCACAGATACAGGTACTCAAACTTATCAGTTGTAGGGATGTCAACAAATATTTGAAAATTCGAATATTCATTCGATAAGTTGATATTCCAATACAAGTTTAAAATTCAAATATTCAGGTTTTTTCAGATTTCACAAAAAAGATAGAACTATGATTTATTTTAGATGGAGCAGTGCTAGAATTATCCCTGTTTCATTCATTAGCGATCAATTTTGATCAAACAATTTCTTTCACTACTTTCTGATGTTATAGACCTACTTGAGAAAGATGTTTCATCAGAATAATTTTGTCTGGGAAATCTAATCTTTAATGACGTGAAAACGCTTAGTGTTGCTTCTAGAGAAGGATTTTCTGAGATTTTGAAGGAGGAAACCTGTGTATAAATTCCCCGTCTTTTAATACGGTCGGATCTAGAATTGAGGACAACAAAATGAAACTTTTCTTAAGTATCTTAAAGATCTGATGACTGTACCTATCAAAGCACATTTCATTGATCATTAAATTATATAATGTTTAGTAGAATATTGTAAAGGGCTCTTTTTCAGATTAAATGCATGAATTATATTGTACTTGATTATCTTGGTTGTGGATGTTTCTGTTTCTAAAATCATTATTGGGAAATTAGTTTCTTATTCAAATACAATGTATATTCAAATATCTTCACTGAATATTCCAATATGAATTACCTACAAAATTGACATCCTTTATTGATAATATGTTCTATTCCTCTGAAGGGGCATGTTAAATTACTGTGTAGTAAAACCTACATATACATATAATGAATACACATACAGGAATAACCTGTTAGATGACAAACATAGAGTATTTTACCAAAAAATATTTCAAGAAGTCAAAATGGTTAAATATGAACATAAAGTAACTTCCAGGAAGTCTGTTACAATCACATTTTACTAAAGAGTTGTCTTCTGGTTTTGACCAGTTAGAATTAGCTCAACTTTTTCTGAAGTTTCTGAAATACTTCATATATGACTTGATTGTCTTTATTGTGTTATAATCCTTGTAGAGATGTCAGGTTGTGATGATTCTAACACAGAGGCTGAAGATCAGGGGAGTTTATCTGACTCCACAGACAAGTAAGTGGACAGTTACTGCTGTGTGTCAGGCTTTGTCAGACCTGATGGCTAATACTTTCGTCTGGAGACTAACCAAAATATACTTTATGCAGCATTGTCACCTCCAGTGAATTGAGGGGAATATAGAGTAACACACTTATCCATCCTCTATGTCCATGTTTGGTTTCCTTGATGTACCTTGAGAAAGGTTTGGGTTGGGGTGTTCATATTTGCAACATTTCATAAATGTTCCATGATGCCACCAGCAGTCCATGTAAGATTTGTTGTGCTAGAAATTGCTAAATCTCACTCAGGGGTGGTGTCTAGTTCAACAAACTGAGGGGTTAAATAGGTCAATTATGTCAAAGCCAAAATCAGTGGAATGCATAAAATATTCTGAGCCATGTTGCCCATAGGTCTCTTGCTTGAAATATTAATAAAGCTGTAGTAGTTATTAGTTATAAAACTTGGATGTCAACCAGTAAACTTTGTTTACTTTGTTGGTATACAGTAAATCCTGGTTATAAATAAGGAAGTCACTGCTTCTTTATATCAGAGATTCTTTATATCCTTATTAAGTACATTGTGAAAAGTCTTCTTGGGGATATGTAAAAGGTTCCTTATAAAAAGGATCTCCTTATAAGCAGGTTCTGTATAATTCAGTTTTACTGTACTGTTTTCTGTATTCCTTTTGTTTGTGTATTACTAGGATATAGTCTATGAAACATTTGAATATTTTCAGGGCCGAGTTAGAACACAGACAGTTGGAGAATTTGATTGAGGTCTTACAAACAGAGGGCCTCCTCCCTGTAGTCAAAGTAGTCTGTGATTGGATGAAGTGCAATAAAGATGTTATCCTCACCTGTGCTCAGGTATCATACTTATGTATCAGGTGCTTGTTGTATAAAAGACTCTCTTTCAATAATTTCAGAACATGTTTTAGAATCTAGGATCAAAGATTTTAGAATTTTAAATCTGATTATTTTCAGAGCTCTCAGTCTCTGTGGCACAGATTGTCAGTGTTGTTAAACATTCTACCTAAAGAATCGATCATAGTGGGACATGGTAAGTTCTGGCACCATTTTTAACTCAGCAGAGATGAATTGAGTTTATATCTTTATTGGTCAAGCTGTTTAATGTTTTTATATTTTTCCATATTTTTTATAAACTTAATTCCTCTTAAGAATCACTGAATTACTAATTACAGAGCATCCTTTAGTAATGGGTATCACAAGTACTGGTTGTTCAAATGAAGAACAAAGGGATAATTTAGAACTACTGTAGTGAAAAGCTGGGGTCATTTAAAATTCTTCTAAGGATGCACAGAGCCAGAAACATCAAAATTTATAGATAAGGTTCATAAGGTTTTAGTGAAGATTCATCCCCCTACTAGAAAACACATCAGAGATTCAAATTATTTTGAAATTTTTTAAAGAAAACCCTTAACTGAAATGAAAAGCTTCAGTTGTAAGAAATAGATTATCCTCAGCAGAAATGATTGAATATTCTGCTATCTTTGCTGTCATGGAGATCAGATAAATTTAGAAATGTCTGGGTCTTGGGATACATTACATTGATTACAGCTTGGACTGGTATAGATTGTAATTTCTGGTAACAAAAATTACTGAGCCTTTCGCTCATAGATGTACTGAAACTGGTTTGTATAACTTACATTTTCATTTTGCTCAGTTTTTGCAAAAGAGATAGAAGGTATGTTTCATTTCATATAGTCCTAGCTATAAAATTGTATAAATTTTTAAGCAATAATATTGACCATTTGATGAAGATTTCCATTTGTACACTTTTACCTTTTCTGTTTCTAATTCAGAGTAGCCCTTATTTTTTGAGTCTGGCCAGAAAGCCCCATATTTGAATAATGATGGTCTGTTTATTGTAGACCAGTGCTGGGTCGACCAGTTGAAGACCACACTGAACACCACTGGTCAACCACACTGGAGGCAGATCTTTCCTCTAACAGAGGACATCAATCTGTGGCAGTTCTCTCCCCTTACGGAAGCCCACATGGGGATAGAGTTCACAACAAAGAGGAGGGGCCAACTCAGTGATGTACAAGAGGTATTAAACATTTTTACTGAAAAATGCATTTGATTTGAGTTCTAATGAAATGAGTTCTAGAGAAGTTAAGTGAAATTTTAACACTGGAAAAGTTTTCTCCTGTTTTATATCACTAAACACATATCTGTACCAAATATGCATGGTATATTGAGCAAAGATCTGTAAGTTATAAAATACAAAATGAATTTTAGAATTCTGAACACTATGGAAAAGTTTTCTCCCGTTTATATTGGTTGTAAATGTTAATAAACACTGTGCAGACAACTCTATCAAATATGCTTGGTATATGGAGCAATTGTTCTGTAAGAGTTATTGCTCTTGTAGTGTTTCTTAAGGACAGGGAGCTTAAGGCATTTTGGATACTACCTGTCTTCTTTGGAGAATTTGACCTTCATTTATGATGAAGAGCAGAGTTTGTTTATTGGTCCGTCCCACACAGGAAACACCGAGGAAAATGAAAAAGAGGCTATGGATCGAGAGGTATACTTTTGCATATTCTGATTGGTATGTTTTTGTGGAATTCATTGATATGATCCCCCTCGAAAATTTTCTTCTATTTTTTTTTTTTGTGAGTTAGGTAGCCAAAGAACTTCCATGTGTTTATAGGTCATTTTGTAAAATAAAACATTTTAAATTTATTGAAGATACATTTAACAATGTGGCCTCTCTTTTGTTACAAAATTACTGGTTGTATTGCTTTGTAATCTTTAAGGAGATGACCCAAAGCAATTTCAATTTGTGAGTTTAATTTGGTTACTCCCACATTGAACTTTTTCCTTTAATTTTGCTGATTTGAATTTCTATTGGCAACATTATCAGCAATCAAGTGAATGCTGTATTTTCTATGTGTTTATTATGCTAATTTATTGATGATATCATCACCTAAACTTGCTTTTGAAGTAAAGTTATTGATGATGATGCTTTATATTCCATCATCCAAAAGTATCTAAAAGATTATTTATTTTGGTGAAATAATTTCAACATTGATACAAATTTGTGGTCCTATAAATGATTAACTTCCTTATTTATCTTTCTCAGTAGTTATAGACAACATATGATTAAAACTGTGTACAGTTATTTGCATTTGACACAGCACGTTTTTGATGTCTGACTCAGAAGCATCACATGCATTTCTGCTAATTCATTCTCGGTCAAGTGGAGTGCATGGGGCATAAGATAGTGTTTGAGTTGCTGTGATATTTATACCCAGTAAGGGGTTTATTTCTGAGGGACGTTATCTGGTCCAGGTCCCCTGTTTACTGAGAGGGCGAGAGCTCGGATTGTTTGTAACATGGTGTTACTGTCACTGGAATGCTGTATTTGTTGGTTGACAGTGTCAATATTAGTCGTCAACAGGGCAGGAATCAAAGTACATTCACTTCAGCAGGGAGATAGCAAGATTGTCCCCAAGTGTTCCCTCACAGGTGTGTGGAATAACAAGGAAATAAAGGTATAGGGGGTCAAATTCTCTCATGTTTCCAAATTCAACTTCAGTGATACTTAGATTTTTGGAGGCACATTAGGGCAGATCAATCAATTAATTATATATAAACATACACATTCTGCATCCATGTTATATAAAATTAAGATCAACTTTGTCTGTAGGTTATGTTTGGTTTGGCTAGTTAGTTTGCTACAAACATACTGATAAATTTTGCCAAAAATATTTTTGTCTCTACAATGTAGGTTTACCACAAACCATAGACTGCCCACTGTTGACCATATTATTGAGGAAAAATAGATTGGGAAAATGAGTTTATTGACCACAAGTGTACTAAAAATATATTTCCTGAACTTGGCAGACATTATCAATGTCAGTTGCGGAACGTGTATAAATGCATTACAGGTTTTAGCTAGAAACATGGAAAACAAAAGGTAGGGGGCCACCATAGAGAGCGATATTGGACAGGTGATCTGGTGTTCCTTTGTCCTCGCCTGATTAGATTATTTACCTTGTAGCGTCCCCGACAACAGGACCATCAATAATGGAGTACCTACAATGATAGTATTTACCTGTCCAATCTCAACTATTGGAAGTGTTGTTCAATTTCCAATACAGGCCAAGTGCTAATTTTAAGTCGTTATCAGTGCTGTGTTGACAGATGACTCACTGGTAACCCTTATCACCGGTTTCCTATCTATGGAATTCAATCAGCAACACACAAAATATCACGTGCCAACATTGTCATATTTGTATACTTTGCAGATTTCTTTTTTATGTCTGTATATAGCTTTGCTTGTGCCAATATCAATGAACTTGGAAGCAATCCTAAACACCTGTACAACTACCAGCGTTATACTAAGTTATAGCTTTCCTGTCTGTCTGCCTGAGTTGTTTGTGTGTTTGTCTGCATTTGTGCCGCTAATCTTGTTGTTGGGTAAAGATCAAAAGATGTTTCAAAAGAGGAATCCAAGAAATACTAGGTAATATGGCTGCCGTTTTATCGGGCTGGGGGACAGGCGCAATATTACTTGAGAGCTCATTTTATACATGTATATGAAAATGTCTCTCATCTTTATGTTCTCAATAAAAGTAGCTTTTTCTGAGATTTGACTAGGTGGTTTTCCCACCATGATTTTCTCTCTTTTGGCCAGGAAAGCTCCAAGGATTCATGGAAAGGGTAAAGAAGATAATACTAATGATCCATATATCACATGTGGCTTTTTGAAATGAATTCTTCTGGACTTGAAAATGGAATTTTTTAATAAAAATTTTGGATTTTCTGGAGATATCCAATAAATTGGTTCAAAGCTGTGATTAGATTCCAATTATCTGTTTTATGATTATGTATCATCTAAGCATTACAAAAATGTCACCCTAGAAGAAGACATTGGTAGAATGCTGCAAATATTTACTTTTAGCTTGAGAGCAGCTCAAAGTGGGGGGTAGTGCTGTGATAAGCTTCGGTAGTTGTTAGTGGATAGGCCTATCATTTCCTCTTATTTTCAGCAAGGCCTATTTACCTAGCTCTTGGCAGGGATTATCCTTATCTAAATCCCTATAATATCCATCTTTTCAACAAGTTCTGTAGTCAATAAAACAAGGGTCATATTGCCACATACTCCAATCTCTGTGTTACACAAACTTTACTTTGAGTGGGGTGTGAAGTTAAAACCCAGTAAAATACAGAACATTTGTGAGTGACACAACTCTTTGCTTGCCATCACTTCTGTGTACTTAGGTCTCTAGTCCTTCATCCAGGCCATTGCCAGAGTTTTTGTGCAAATATCTATTGAACAATGCTAAATATTTAATCTGATTATATAAATACTCCTTAGCACCAGTTATTGTGCCATAAATAGAAAGGTATATTCCTGTGAAGACATGTCCTCTTGTCTGAACAGCCAGGGTGACAAAATAAGGTGGGGCTTAGTGGAGGGGGGTGTTGTGTGCTGTTTGATTGTCAGGGGGTGTAGCAGACAGCTTTTTCTTTTGTGATCTTGGACCAGGTGACATGATACAAGGACTCTTTACTGTCAACCTTGCCTTTCGGTGTAATTTAAAATGAGATTTTGATAAGATAAGGCACAATTTGTCACTAACAAATTCAAGTTAGGCACACACATCTAACCCAATTTCAAATCTATTTTCCCTCTTTTATGTACACAAAGATTTAAATTTCCAAACAAAGCTGTTTAGAGAAGGTATGTAACCCTTAGTGTATTGTGTTTACTTTGGATAGAAGTGCATTATCAAGCCCATCATGCCTCTAGTCCACCTGCTACAAATCACTCCCATCATGCACCTGAATCCTAGGGACACATGATTGTCATCCAGACACATTGGAAAACCCACCAAAGCAGGGGACTTTGGTACTTGAGTTTTACCCAGGAGACATTTTGTTTGGTTAATCCCTCCAATATATCCTGCCTTGGCAGATTTTTTTTTCCTTTCTTTGCTGTGTCATTTATAAGAAAAAAAAATTTTTTTTTGGAATGTTTATAGTTTGGAGAAAGACAAGAAGCTTAAAGATCAATAGGTGTTGCTTTGGTTTTGTGGCAAGATCGTTGTAATCTGATGAATAAACATAGAATAACTTTGAACTCTCATGGCCCAGTGAACACTCATAGGCTCACGTACCCTTTTATCAAAGTCATTAGTGTGGGGAATCATTTTTGATGGTTAGATGGTTTTCATTAGCATCAGCTCAAGTTCTAATTTTACAAAGTGTTTTCTTTGCGGCTTATTGACTTTTAAATGTCTTGTTATAGGATGGAAGTCATTATAGACTAGTTTAAGAATTTTTTTCCTGCAAGAAATGAAACCATGTGACGAGCATGAAGTATGTTATCCACATTATCCATATGAATCATATTAAATGATTTAAAAAGATTTCAACTTCTTAAGAACTGAGAAAGAGGCTTGTGTGCAGTGAACTTTCATAATAAGTGCAGTGTGATTATTAGTGTCTGAAGGTTACGTTTCCAACCACTAACTAGGTATATCCATAATCTATCCCCCTCCCTCCCCCCCCCCCCCCCAAAAAAAAAAAAATTGTAATATATATTCAGAATAGAGTAAAAGTAAATCTAGATTTTTAGGGAAGTGATGGATATTTGGTCACTTGTCAAAAAAAAAAAATTAATTCCATCTTAAGTCATTTATGTCTGAAGATATATAGGATAATACAACATAGCAACATGATTGTAAATTCCTGAATTCCTCTCTCTCTGCTTGCGGTGTTATTTTATTGACAGATTCAGCTAACACTAGAGCAAGAGCTCATTCAAAATACTAATGATTTCGCTGTAATATTGACCAAAACGAGATGAAGCGAGAATGAAAAAGGAGCTGTGCATTACCGTCGTGTAATCAACACACTCTTGTCTAGTGATGGCCTTTGTCTGAGCAGAAGGGATCAATATTTCTCAAATTCACAGGAAACAAAAAAAAAAATTCTGTCAACCATTCAGTGTTGTTGACTTAGTTGGAATTTAGGTGTGTACACAACCTGTCTTCTACTGTGTAACCTGATCAAATACTGTCCACAGATAAATACCACTAATGTCAATATTTCCAGTTGACATGGAACTAACATATCTTACTTTTAAGTTTTGAATCTAAATCCTTAGATAAATAA